AGGGGAGGAGGTGGATAAAGAATGGCAGCATCTCGCCAGCTTGGCTTTTTGCTACTTGAAGGCGAGACGTCAGGACTTCATTTGCTGCTGCCGGGGCAAGGGTACTATTTATGTGGGTTTATTTGAGGGCTGCATTCCTGGTGACATAGTCCGTCAAACTGCTATTATTCAGCTGGATGAAAGCTCGAGGAACTTTAGAAGGAGAGACACATCCAGCTCACCCATTTGGGGGATTTATAAATGACACGAAGAAAATAAAATGCTAATGTAAGTATCCGTTTGCAGAATCGCAGGAGCTGTGCATGCGTGTGTGTGTGTGTGTGTGTGTGTGTGTGTGTGTGTGTGTGTGTCCATAGAGAATGATGCCCTTGTGAGTCACCTCTGGCCCTGAGCCACTTTTTTCCTGGTGCAAACAGAATGGTAAGAGGTGACCCTTTGTGTACAGTGGGCCTTGAACCCACATGCTCCCAGGCCAAGGTAAAGGGGTGAACGCTAGCGGTTCTGTAGGACATGGAGAGTGAGATGGATTTCAAATGCCGAGCTCTCCTAATACTGTGGCGTGTGAGTGCTGGAGGGACCTGTAGAGGCCGCCTGCTCTCATGGTTCCTAACCTGGGGTGTGGGCTGCAGGGGGCTTGTGAGCCCCAGGTGCAAACAAGTACGTGCATGTTCTTAGTGGAGCGAGTCAGCGGCCCAGCACAGGGTAAGAATTGTTTCTGTAGAGGAAAAAGCATGAGTTTAGTTGGGTTGGTGTCCCGGTCTTGGGAGATACCTTCTGGAAGCCTTGTTAAGTGTCCAGCCTCTGTTTCCTCATCAGATTTTATATTTTGATGTTTAAGTAAGACACACGATGTGAAAGCCTTTCCAAAACACCATGTTGATGCTAATTGTGTCATTTCGCTCTCTTCTTCCCAAAGTTCGGGCAGATGGATGCCAGCATTTCTGTTTTCTGACAGTCATGCAGTCCAGTTTCTATTCCCCTGCTCGTACATCTATTTCTACCCAGGTCTATTTAAAGGCATCTTCTGCTCTGGTTCTTTGCAGTGAGCTTGTGCCAGGTTTCCCCCACCAATTGGTACACTCCCCGTCATCCTGTGGTTTTAGACTCCAGCTTTATAGGAATTTCAAAAGACTCAACTGAGCGAGCTCACTTTCTGTCGGTGTGAGAGTAGCTATAGGGAAGGAGGAGCTGGCTGCCAGTAGCCTTGTGTGTGCAACAAATACTGGCCGCTTAAGCCGGCTTAAAAGCCGACTGAATCATGTTCTTAGCAAACAGCACCATGATTATATGCCTGGGCTATAAAAAGCTTCCTGAGATGGTGATGTGGAAATTTAAGAATTAGGAAAAAGATTCCAACTAGAGCACCGTTGGAACAAGCATAAAATCTGGGTTTTAACCGCTTGTTGGCAAGTACGTGAGTCTTGCTACTTCTTAGAGACCTGCTGGGACTGTCTTACGACGTGGTGTTTGTGTTCACCTGGAGCATTGAAAGGCTATTTATTGTGGCTAATTTTCTTTGAATGTAGGTCTGCCTCCATTTCTAAATAGCCAAAGTGCTGTTTCCTTAAGAGCAGTTAAATAGGAGGGAAAAGATTTATAATGCTCCCCGTTCACATTTAAGAGTTCTCCCTTAGTGGATCTACATGAGGTATTGCCTTTGTTCTTCACTGTGTGGACTGTAGTTCTCCCATGTATAGCATTAACCGATTTGTTTAGCAAAGTTGATTTGCAGCTTGTTACCTGGCTGCCAGCTAAAAGGCATGAATTAAACTGCTATAGCTTGTCATCATCACCCACTAAAGATAAGAATTTAGCTGGATTTAAATCCTTAGTGTTACAGATTAGTACCTAATAAAATGTTCTTGCATGGGTGCTACTGAATCAGCACTTTGCTGTTTTGTTTTGTTTTTTTTTACGTTTTCTTTCCTAAACTTATTTCTAGAAATAGACTTATTTCTTTCTTAGTATAATGCTACCGAATCAGCAATTTTCTGGGTTTTGTTTTTTTAAGTTTTCTTTCCTAGACTTACTTCTAGAAGTAGACATTTCTTCCTTAGTATAATGCTACCGAATCAGCAATTTTCTGGGTTGGTTTGTTTGGTTTTTTTTTAAGTTTTCTTTCCTAGACCTATTTCTAGAAGTAGACGTTTCTTCCTTAGTACAACGCCGTCTACTTGTAGCTTGCCTATTGCTGATGCTTAATATAATAGAATATAAAAAAAATTAATCACTTGTTTATGACTGTGTTTGTTTATGGGGGGATGATTTAATATTCTCACACAGGGATGTGAGTCTGTTGAACAACTCCTGTAAATTTGCACGATCTAGGTTTCATGAAAATGACTTCAGGGACTTTGGGGAGAGAGGAGGGAAGAGCAGGCTTGTGTGTAATAAATAGGGTGGGTACCTCCCATCCAGACTCGAAGTGCTGTGAGGTGATGAAGACAGCCAGAATGATTGGAGGGAAAGGCAGGTGTGCACATTATATGCATAAGGTTTCTATGCATCCGTGGGGTTGCAATACTGTTTATGAAATCTGACCACTCGGGGCCAGTAAGACCTGGACTTGATTTGTCTGCTTATCCTCGAAGTCTCGGTGTAAACATCCCCTCCTCAGAGAGGTCTTCCCTGATAACTGGATCTTAACGGTGCTAACACTCACTCCACCTTGCAGGCAGATACTGCTTGCTTATCTCCCCCACTAGCTGGTTAGCCCGTTGAGAGCCCAGACCAGGTCATCTGGCACTGTCTTCCCAGCTGCTAGCCCACACAAGATGCCCAGATTTGTTGAATGGCTGGGGTAGTTCAGTTCGAGTTATGAATTCATCTAGAAGAAACCTGCTGTCAGTGTACTGATCATCAGTTACTTTCTTGATCCTTCTTATGTCCGTTTGACATGACCACCCAACATCTGATCGTTCATTTCAGTGGTTTTAAAAAAAATATGCCCATTGTCTCTCCTTATTGGGATGCTGAGCAGAAAGAAAACAGTGTCTGTCTTCGGAACTGGCACCGGCATTGACACTCACTGGTCCTGTCCCTGCCCAGTGGGGTGACTGCGCCCAGCTTCTCATTGGCTTATCCTCCACTGTCTGTTCTCTTGGGAAGTCAAGTATGGATTTTGTCTGCTAGTTACCTTTAGCCCAGTGGGCAGCAGCACAGGACCGGGCATGTGACGGATGCCCTGAGAGACCTTGGCAGGCTGGCTAAGCACCGGGTGAGCACGTCCATCCCCTGCTCCGCCCCTACCCTGCGGCCTAGTCTGTTTCTGCGGTGGTGTGTCACCCAGCAGCCAGCTGTTGGTGGCACAGATGGTGAGTGATTTTATAAGTGCTGGTGCTTTCTCTGCACAGTTACGACCTGCAGAAATGCACTTACCTGCTCCTTCTCTGTTGTCATGTTAAAGCTCGAAATTGTCTGTGTGTCTGTGTGTGTGTATGTATGCCTACACAGGGCTGTTGTAGCACAAGATTGCATTACATTGCCTCCTAGAGAACTGACGGCCAGTGAAAGCCCCTGATATTCTGCAGCTCTGTGAAAAGATATGTACGGTGATGTAGATTTAAATTAGAAGAGGATTTCTATATTTGGGAAAAAAACCTGATTTTCAGTCTTGGGACCTAAGCTATTTAAAACACATAAAATAAGGAGCCCAAAAATACCATCTGAATTAATGATAAAGGTTAACACTTGTCGCATTGCCGGGCAGTTTTTGAGAAAAGTCTTTCAGATCATTTCCTAGGATTTCCTTCCCTGTACTGCCAAACATACTTTAGAGCAGTTATTCATCAACAATTTTCTAATTAGAATTATTCTTATTTGTTCTCTGTACTGCACATTAATTTTTACATTGATATATATATATATAAATTGTTTATAATATTCAATTTGAGGCTTTAATCTATATATGGGGCTGTTCATCTGATTTTCTTCTGTGTGTCTTGGCTTCTTAATTTTGTATGTAAACTTCTTGTAGTTGTGTCGTCTTTTGTTACCTCTGTCTCTTACTGTTCTCCATGCAGGACTAATCACAGAATGTCGGTAGAGGAAATAATAATAATGCCCAACATGGATTGAACACATTGTGGTGCCTCACACCATTGTAAGCTCTTTATGTGAACCATTTAGTCCTTATAAAAGCCCTATGAGATAGGTGCTGTTTTTATGGATGAGGAAACTGAGGCACAGAAAGGGCAAGTGATTTGTCCCCAGTCATACAGCTGATGAGCCAGAGAGGCGGAATTTGGCTCTAGAATCTGGGATCTTAAATACTATTTTGTACTTTCTCTCAAATACTATGCTATAATCTCTCTAGATATTTGCTAGATAAATATCTCTAGATATTTATGCACACCCTTTTATTATTTATTTTAGCTATAATAGCTTGAGGAATATAAGTGACACTGTTTTGTTAGAATAGCCAGCTCCAGTTTTCCCTGTGCTTATATGGCTGCTTTTGTGGTACAAAGAGCATGGGGAAGGTGAGGGGCCCACTCAAAACCCAGCTTGGTCTCTTTCACCAGCTGGGGAGCTTGTGCTGAGCTTTGTCAGAAGAAATGGAAACTGATGGCCTTTGGGTGGTTCGGGCTAGTTTCTGCTCTCTCTTCTCCCCATCAGCTGTGATAATGAGAGTTGAGTGTATTTGATTAGGTGGGAGAGAACAAGAGAGAGAATATAAGGCAAGAAAATAGTAACTTATGCCCCTTGTGTGGACATTTTATGGTAGGAATTCTGAGTGACTAAATCTTTTTAATGTGGTCAATGAAAACTTTACACAAGATGATAGAAGTAAAACGAATTCCTAAAATGTTTTTAGAAAAGTGAGATTTGACAGCCAGGAAAAGACCTGGACCATCAGCCTGTGGCTTTAATGCCCCCAACTGGTCAGCCAGCATCGAGCTGATGGTCCCGGGGAGTCTGGAGCAGCATCGCGCCGCCCTGGAATGAACGTGACGTTTTTCTCTCCGGCAGATATCGGTGTAGGGTGCCACCAACCCAGGATGATGCAAGCCCACGAGCTGTCCCAGTACTTTCGGATGCCAGAGATGGTTGACTTCCGGCAGTACGTGCGCACCCTTCCAACCAACACGCTCATGGGCTTCGGTGCGTTCGCAGCGCTCACCACCTTCTGGTATGCCACGCGGCCGCGGGCCCTGAAGCCACCGTGCGACCTGGCCATGCAGTCGGTGCAGGTGGCGGTAAGTGGAGCCTGGCCGCCCCCGGGCCTCTGCCTCTCTCTCCACAGGTTCCAGGCCCTATCGAAGGCGGCGTCGGGCACGATCCTAATCACAAGCAGATATTGGTGGGGCACTTTGTAAACTGAAGTGTGCTCCCCAAACAGAATTTCAGCAGTGATGAGAAGAGGAGGGCAAAAAAATAGGGCAGAGGGACACAGGCAGTGATGCTGCTTGGGTGTCTGGCCACATCACACGGAGCAGAGGCTCGTCCCCGTAATCTCATGGGGCTTCTGCCCTGCGCTGGGTCCTGAGCTGTGCCCGGAGGATTCTGAGAGGGGAAAGGACAGGCACAGGGTCCCTGCCCTCAGTGGAGAAGGGGGTTGTCAATTGTTAGAGAAAGAAGGATTTCACCTGTGGTTGTCTGATACCTGGAACACACTGCACAGGGGTTAAAAAGGACTCAGGTATTTCTTTTTTTTTTTTTGGCTGCACACTCATTAATTACTTCTTTATATCAGATTTTTTTTTAGTTGAGTTTTTAGAACAGTTTTAGATTTACAGAAAAATTACAGAATTTCCATACCCCACATCTATTTCTGCTATTATTAACATCTAACATTAGTATGGTACATCTGTTTTTTGTTTTTGTTTTTTTTAAGCTTTTTTTTTTAATTCTTGAATTTTATTTTATTTTTTTATACAGCAGCTTCTTATTAGTTATCTGTTTTATACATATTAGTGTATACATGTCAATCCCAATCTCCCAATTCATCTCACCACCCCCACCCCCACCCCACCGCTTTCCCTCCTTGGTGTCCATACGTTTGTTCTCTACATCTGTGTCTCTGTTTCTGCCTTGCAAACAGGCCCATCTGTACTGTTTTTCTAGATTCCACATATATGCATTAATATATGATACTTGTTTTTCTCTTTCTGACTTACTTCACCCTATATGACAATCTCTAGATCCATCCACATCTCTACAAATGACCCAATTTCATTCCTTTTTATAGCTGAGTAATGTTCCGTTGTATATATGTACCACATCTTCTTTATCCATTCGTCTGTCGATGGGCATGTAGGTTGCTTCCATGACCTGGCTATTGTAAATAGTGCTGCAGTGAACATTAGGGTGCATGTGTCTTTTTGAATTATGGTTTTTCTCTGGGTATATGCTCAGTAGTGGGATTGCTGGGTGATATGGTAATTCCATTTTTAGTTTTATAAGGAACCTCCATAGTGGCTGTATCAATTTACATTCCCACCAACAGTGCAAGAGGCTTCCCTTTTCTCCACACCCTCTCCAGCATTTGTTGTTTGTAGATTTTCTGATGATGCCCATTCTAACCAGCATGAGGAGATACCTCATTGTAGTTTTGATTTGCATTTCTCTAATAATTAGTGATGTTCAGCAGTTTTTCATGTGCTTCATGGCAATCTGTATGTCTTCCTTGGTGAAATGTCTATTTAGGTCTTCTGCCCATTTTTGGATTGGGTTGTTTGTTTTTTTGATGTTGAGCTGAATGAGCTGCTTGTATATTTTGGAGATTAATCCTTCGTCCATTGATTCATTTGCAAATATTACTCCCATTCTGAGGGTTGTCTTTTTGACTTGATTATAGTTTCCTTTGCTGTGCAAAAGCTTTTAAATTTCATTAGGTTCTATTTGTTTATATTTGTTTTTACTTCCATTACACTCGGAGGTGGATCAAAAAAGATCTTGCTGTGATTTATGTCAAAGAGTGTTCTTCCTGTTTTCATCTAAGAGTTTTATACTGCCCGGTCTTACATTTAGGTCTTGAATCCATTTTGAGTTTATTTTTGTGTATGGTGTTAGGGAGTGTTCTTATTTCATTCTTTTACATGTAGCTGTCCAGTTTTCCTGGCACCACTTATTGAAGAGACTGTCTTTTCTTCATTGTATATCCTTGGCTCCTTTGTCATAGATTAGTTGACCGTAGGTGCTTGGATTTATCTCTGGGTTTTCTATCCTGCTCCATTGATCTATATTTCTGTTTCTGTGCCATTACCATATTGTCTTGATTACTGTAGCTATGTAGTATAGTCTGAAGTCCAGGAGTCTGATTCCTCTAGCTCTGTTTTTTTCCCTCAAGATTACTTTGGCTATTCAGGGTCTTTTTGCCTCCATACAAGTTTTAAGATTTTTTGTTCTAGTTCTGTAAAAAGTGCCATTGTTAATTTGATAGGGACTGCATTAAATCTGTAGATTGCTTTGGGTAGTATAGTCATTTTCACAATATTGATTCTTCCAGTCCAAAAACATGGTATATCTCTCCATCTGTTTGAGTCATCTTTAATTTCTTTCATCAGTGTCTTATAGTTTTCTGAGTACAGGACTTTTACCTCCTTAGGTAAACCTTAGTTAGGTTTATTCCTAGGTATTTTATTCTTTTTGTTGCAGTGGTGAATGGGATTGTTTCCTTAATTTCTCTTTCTGATCTTTTGTTGTCAGTGTATTGGAATGCAAGAGGTTTCTGTGCATTAATTTTGTATCCTGCAGCTTTACCAAATTCATTGATTAGCTCTAGTAGTTTTCTGGTGGCGTCTTTAGGATTCTCTATGTATAGTATCATGTCATCTGCAGACAGTGGCAGTTTTACTTCTTCTTTTCCAATTTGTACACCTTTTATTCCTTTTTCTTCTCTGATTGCCATGGCTAGGACTTCCAAAACTATATTGAATAATAGTTGTGAGAGTGGACATCCTTGTCTTGTTCCTGATCTCAGAGGAAATGCTTTCAGTTTTTCACCATTGAGAATGATGTTTGCTGTGGGTTTGTCATATATGGCCTTTATTATGTTGAGGTAGGTTCCCTCTATGCCCACTTTCTGGAGAGTCTTTATCATAAATGGGTGTTGAGTTTTGTCAAAAGCCTTTTCTGCATCTACTGAGATGATCATATGGTTTTTATTCTTCAATTTGTTAATACCACATTGATTGATTTGTGTATATTGAAGAATCCTTGCATCCCTGGGATAAATCCCACTTGATCATGGTGTATGATCTTTTTAACGTGTTGTTGGATTCTGTTTGCTAGTATTTTGTTGAGGATTTTTGCATCTATATTCATCAGTGATATTGGTCTGTAATTTTCTTTTTTTGTAGTATCTTTGTCTGGTTTTGGTATCAGGGTGATGGTGGCCTCATAGAATGAGTTTGGGAGTGTTCCTTCCTCTGCAATTTTTTGGAAGAGTTTGAGAAGGATAGGTGTTAACTCTTCTTTAAATGTTTGATAGAATTCGCCTGTGAAGCCATCTGGTCCTGGGCTTTTGTTTGTTGGACAATTTTTAATCAGAGTTTCAATTTCATTACTTGTGATTGGTTTGTTTTTATTTTCTATTTCTTCCTGGTTCAGTCTCGGAAGGTTGTGCTTTTCTCAGAAATTGTCCATTTCTTCCAGGTTGTCCATTTCATTGGCATAGAGTTGCTTGTAGTAGGCTCTTAGGATGCTTTGTATTTCTGCGGTGTCTGTTGCAACTTCTCCTTTTTCATTTCTAATTTTATTGATTTGAGTCCTCTCCCTCTTTTTCTTGATGAGTCTGGCTAATGGTTTATCAATTTTGTTTATCTTCTCAAAGGACCAGCTTTTAGTTTTATTGATCTTTGCTATTGTTTTCTTTGTTTCTATTTCATTTATTTCTGCTCTGATCTTTATGATTTCTTTCCATCTACTAACTTTGGGTTTTGTTTGTTCTTCTTTCTCTGGTTCCTTTAGGTGTAAGGTTAGGTAGTTTATTTGAGGTTTTTCTCGTTTCTTGAGGTAGGATTGTATTGCTATAAACTTCCCTCTTAGAACTGCTTTTGCTGCATCCCACAGGTTTTGGATGGTCGTGTTTTCATTGTCATTTGTCTCTAGGTAGTTGTTGATTTCCTTTTTGATTTCTTCAGTGATCTCTTGGTTATTTAGTAATGTATTGTTTAGCCTCCATGCGTTCGTGCTTTTTACGTTTTTCTCCCTGTAATTTACTTCTAATCTCAGTGTTGTGGTCAGAAAAGATGCTTGATATGATTTCAGTTTTCTCAAATTTACCGAGGCTTTATTTGTGCCCCCAGATGTGATCTATCCTGGAGAATGTTCTGTGTACACTTGGAAAGAAAGTGTAATCTGCTGTTTTCAGATGGAATGTCGCATAAATATCAATTAAATCTATCTGGTCTATAGTGTCATTTAAAGCTTTTGTTTGCTTATTAATTTTCTGTATGGATGATCTGTCCATTGGTGTAAGTGAGGTTTTAAAATCCCCCACTGTTGTTGTGTTACTGTTGATTTCCTCTTTTATAGCTGTTAGCATTTGCCTTATGTGTTGAGGTGCTCCTATGTTGGGTGCATATATATTTATAATTGTTATTATATCTTCTTCATGGATTGATCCCTTGATCATTATGTAGTGTCCTTCCTTGTCTCTTGTAACATTCTTTATTTTAAAGTCTATTTTATCCGATATGAGTATTGCTACTCCAGCTTTCTTTTGATTTCCATTTGCCTGGAATATCTCTTTGCATCCCCTCACTTTCCGTCTGTATGTGTCCCTAGGTGAAGTGCATCTCTGTAGACAGCATATATACGGGTCTTGTTTTTGTATCCATTCAGTGAGCCTGTGTCTTTGGTTGGAGCATTTAATCCATTGACATTTAAGGTAATTATCGATATGTGTGTTCTGAATTACCATTTTCTGAATTGTTTTGGGTTTGTTTTTGTAGGTCCTTTTCTTCTCTTGTGTTTCCCACTTAGAGAAGTTCCTTTAGCATTTGTTGTAGAGCTGGTTTGGTGGTGCTGAATTCTCTTAGTGTTTGCTTGTCTGTAAAGCTTTTGATTTCTCCGTCAAATCTGAATGAGACCCTTGCTGGGTAATCTTGGTTATAGGTTCTTCCCTTTCATCACTTTAAATATATTGTGCCACTCCCTTCTGGCTTGTGGAGTTTCTGCTGAGAAAGCAGCTGTTAACCTTATAGGAGTTCTTTTGTATGTTATTTGTCATTTTTCCCTTGTTGCTTTTAAT